ACACCTTGTTCTCAATCTGACCAGATTTTTAGACTCTTCCAATGAAAATGCATCTGCACAATTTGATGCTATCACTAAACTTCACATTCTCTATTTTGAACTAATAAATAAACCTTACTCCACATGGTTTCTGTCTCACTTGTCTTACTTATGTGCAAGATTTAAAATATAACCTTCCTAACATTGTTCCCTTTATGTAATCTAAAATTCAATTAATGAACATTGCATCTAGATGCAGTGAAATTAAATATATGTTGTTTATTTATAAAGCTTCTATATTCTCTACAGAACTGTGCAAAGGTAAACTCAACAAAACATAGATGTAAAGTATGACAAATTTGATTGGGCACAAACTGTATTCAATGCTGATCATTGAATGCACAGGAATGTTAGTCTCAAAACCACAGACCAGTCTGAAAGAATATTTCCTTTCTGTAAGTGGATACATTACTTATAAAAATAATTTATGTCCATTTAATGTTCAATGGACCATAATTTAATTTTGCTTTAAAACATAGGTCTCAATTTAATTTTGTAGAATTAGCTTTCCAAATGGTTTAATTTTTTTGAATAACATTTTTAAATGATTAAATATTGGTGAAAACATTGGTGAGAGATACTATAGTCAGGGTAGAAGAGGTGGCTTCAGCAGTAGGAACATTCAAAACACAGAAGAGTCCAGGCCCAGATGGATTTTACAGCCCTGTATTATGAGGTGTTTGGCAGGTCTCTACTCCTCTGTAAAGTTGTTAATGCATTCCAAAAATAGATATGCTCTCAACAAACAACTGCCTCCTACCGAAACCCAACAAAAATGTAAATAACCTCGGCATTATCGCCCAATATCCCTATTAAATGTTGTTTAAGATTAATGATAAAGGTCGTTGCTAACAGGCATGGCTAACTGGTACTTGGAAGATTGGATTCACCTGGATCAGGTCGGATTGATTCCAAAACAGGTAAGCAGCCGATAACACGAGAAGGTGTATAGATCTGCTATGGTATGCTAAACGCAGACACATTCCAATGGCAGTTATATCCCTTGATGCAGAGAAAGTATTTGATCATCTCCTGGGGCCCTTCCTGTTCATGGTTCTGGCACACCTTGGCTTTCTTTCTAACTGCTTCAATACACTAATAACCAAACTCTCCCACAAGCCCAAACAACTGTTTCATGCTTTTAACTCTCTTCTTTGCCCTGTCGTGCCTCCTCCTCCTACCAACTTGAAACCCACAAACTTTGCACACACTTCACTGAGAAGATTTCTACAATCAGGGAAGAGATCTCTCATCACTCTCCATCCACTTCAAACCTTTCCCCTAACCACACTCCCTCAGCTGTCCTACGCTCATTTGCACCTGCTACAGCAAAAGAGGTTTCTACTGTGCTCCGTTCCTCCCGCCCCACCACCTGCTCCCTCAATCCTATTCCCTTGTATCTCATCTGCACTTTGTCTCCTTCTCTTGCTCTCCCTCTCCTCTGGCACATTTCCTCTACCCTTCAAACATGCAGCCATAACCCTCGATACTGAAAAATCCTAACCTTGACCTTAATTCCCCACCCAACTACCGCTGTAGCTCACTACTGCCATTTGTCTCCAAGATCCTTGAGCGAGTTGTGTATGGGAGATTGACATACTTCCTTGTATCCAACTCTCTGCTTGACCCGCTTCAATCTGTTGAAACAGCTGTGACCAAAGTATACAATGATCTTATCACTGCTAATTCCCATGGCCACTACTCTATCCTAATTCTCCTTAACCTTTCTGCTGCTTTTGACACTGTTGATCATCAACAGCTTCTTCTCATACTCCGTAATCTCGGCCTACGAGATACCGCTCTTCCTACCTCTCCCAGCGTTTATTCATTGTTTCTTTCTGCCTCTGCCTCTTCTCTCCAATCCCTCTCTGTTGGGGTTCCCCAAGGGTCTGTCCTTCATCCCCTATTGTTCTCAATCTACACTGCCTCCCTTGGTAAATTAATCAGCTTCTTTGGCTTCCAGTTGGCTTCCAGTATCATTTCTATGCAGATAACATGCAAATTTATCTGTCCTCCCCTGATTTCTCACCACCTCTCTTGACTCGTGTCTCTGATGGCCTCTCTGCTATTTCCAACTGGATGACTGCTCATTTCCTTAAACTGAATCTGTCCAAAACAGAACTTCTGGTCTTCCCTCCTTCAAGTGTTACTACTCCCATTTCTCTTTACCTCCACGTTAATGGTGCTACCATCAGCTCCACCATGCAGGCTTGTTCTCTTTGACTCTGACCTCTCCTTCACCCATCATTTCCAATCAATCGCCAAATTCTGCCACTTCCATCTCAAAAACATTGTGCGCATCTAACCCTATTTAACACCTGATACAGCATAGGTGCTTGTCCATGCTGCTGTACTCTATCGTCTTGACTACTGTAATCCGCTTCTCAGTGGTCTTACATGTTCCAAACTTGCCCCGTTACAGTCTAAAATGAATGCGGCAGCGAAGTTCATCTTCCTTTCTGCCAGCACCTCCCACGCCTCCCCCCTTTGTCAGTCCCTCCATTGGCTTTCCGTGAGATATAGGGTGTAACGGACCGTTTCTCTCACAAGAGGATAAAAACCGTTTAGGCGATAATCCCCTTTCCCATAGACCAGCAGCTACTGCAAGCACCAAACTCCCGAACTGCAAACTGTACGAATTCACCAACTCCCGAACTGGAAACACACGAACACTGGAATCAGCCGAACAGGAAAAGCATACAATCCGTTTACACTCCTGGCAGTCAGCATACAATCCAATTCCCCCCAAAAACGAGACGACACATCGGTTTGAGGGTCAAGCAGAATCTCCCTGTACTGTCACATACAGTCTCTTTTATTCCCAATCCACAAACATAGTACAGCCCACAGGGCGTTACAAAACAACCAATCAATCCGTACAATACACCCAGACACTCCCACACAAAATCCTCCCCTCTGCAGGTGATATGATTACTGAACACAATGGGTAATCTCATTATCACCGGCAGAGGAATACAGTTTTTACACAATATTTATAACTTCTAAAATATACATGTCACAAACATAAAACATACATTTTCATAATCAATCCATTCAGGGGAACAACATATTAAAAAATGGCACGAATCAGACCAGGGGTTCAAAAGTTAAGGGAAAGTCCTTTGTGACTAAATGAAGCATGGCTTTCTGGCCCAAACCAGTTTCAGAGTCTTCTATCCTGGAGAGTAATTCAATTATCTCCCAGGACAGACACAAGACTCCATTAAGCACATGGTTGCAAAAAGACACAAAACACTTTAACCCCTTAAGGACACATGACGTGTGACATGTCATGATTCCCTTTTATTCCAGAAGTTTGGTCCTTAAGGGGTTAAAATACATAAAGTCACCTTTTACACATAACACACAGACATTTCAAATATCCCCAGATAGCTGGGATCTGAGCGCACATTATTAGATGAATGGCACTCAGATCACACAAATAAGCCTTTCTGCAGGGGAAATAAACGGTTTAACCTGCAGGGCCATAGTCCAAAGGGAGCAGGCGAGCAACCAGGCTTCTCCAGTTCACAGTGGTGAGGTTGGTTTCGCCACATAGGGCTCAATTTAAGATCCTGACACTTGCTTACAAATCTCTACACAATGCTGCTCCCACCTACTTATCCTCACTAATACACAAATATATCCCATCTAGGCCCCTACGCTCTGCCAGAGACCTAAGTCTAACCTCTATTCGTACTCCTACCTTTGATGCTCAACTTAAAGACTTCTCTGGGGCTGCCCTTCCCCTTTCTGTTAGACTCTCAACCAATCTCCACTCCTTCAAAAAATCTTTCAAAACTTACTTCTTTAGGAAAGCATATGAATTAAACTGTGAACAGTTTTCCCTCCCTGCAACCTGATTCCTCTCCTGAAACGGTCATCAAAACAAAACACTAAGCCCTCAATGAATACTATCCTAGCAACCTACTTTTCTATCCTACCCTTACCTTTTGTGTCACTATACCCCATTCCCTCTAGCATGTAAGCTCATTGAGCAGGGCCCTCAATCCCTCTGTTCCTGTGCGTCAAAGTTGTCTGGTTACAAATACATGTCTGTTAGTCCACCCATTGTACAGTGTTACGGAGCTTGTTGGTGCTATATAAATAACATAATAATAATAACTTTCTAAGCTTTTTCAACTCCCCCATTGGATTCCTCCTACTGCCGAATATTCCTCCTTCCCTATAGCTTACAGGACTAGAGAGGGATGCCACTGTCCCCCCTTTTACTTGTCTTTTCCCTTGAAACTTTGCTGCAGGCGATACAGTCAGGCTAAGCTATGGAGGGGGTTGTATTAGAGGCACATAAAATAGATTAGGCAATCCAGGAACTCAGGATTGCCGCAGGAAGGCAGGTTTATTGAAACACAAACTGCAATGTTCGGCCTACACAGAGGCTTGATAAAGGCCTTTGTGTAGGCTGAAACATTGCAGTTTTTGTTTCAATAAATACGCCTTCCTACAGCAATCCTGAGTGCCTGGAAGTAATCTTCGAAGCTGGGTTTTGCCAACCGCGACCCTGATAAGCACCTAGATTCCTTAGGGTGAGTGCGGTATCCTCAGTTTGTGAATTACTACAGTATAAGAGGCACAGATTTAAAAAAATTTTTTTTTAGAAAACATTACATTTAATCAATTTTAATTAAATCCAAATACTATCCAAGATAAATGCTATTTTTCGTGTCATGTAAAAGATAAGAAAATTATTTAAAAAAACGGAGCGATTGATAAATTTTTAGACATCGGTATGGTGTAAGTTTAGTAACAAAATCTATAAACAGTCTGTCATATTGTGTCCATCTTCTTCTGCTCCAAGATCAATAAATAATATTTCTGTGAATAATTCATATATCGTCATGTCGATGGGACGAAGCGGATTAATGTTCTGAGTTCCTTATATTAGGCCTGTGTCCTTTGCATTTTGTATAACAGGGGTGGCGATTCCTTTAACTCTTACTTCATCTAAAGTTGGCATCCTGATTCGGTATATGCTTCCAAATGTCGTTCTTTATCATCTGTGATTGTCGGTTAAATGTGATCCCGTTGAAAGTGCTGTCAATGAAGGAATCGATATCTCCAAGCACATCAACTTCTTCATTGAAGGTGGGGGCTTTCTGCAACAGAAGAGGCATAGGACTTACTTGTATATTCACAGTTTTCTTGTGCAAAATTGACTGTTCGCGGACCAAGGGACCATCTGAAGATCTTCTCTTCAACAAAACCAGTTTCTCTTGTAGGGCCTTCAGCTCCTGAGATCTTTCAAAATGGCTATCTGAGGCAAGCAAAATGATTTTCTCACTTCTTAGCATCACTTTGATGGGATAACGAGATCCTATTGGACGGGATACACACACAGACATCACCTGTTTGGGACATTTTCCATAATATATACTGGCACATATCTTTTATTTTCTTTCTTTTTTTATATTTCAGACGTGTACCTGCCTTGTATATTTTTAAATGGTGCTTCTGTATTTCAGGCCTTGGTACTCTTGTCATCATAAATATCTCCTCACTCCTCACTATCTCCTTCTCCACCTAGCTCTTAGATCCTTTCTTAATCTTCTCCATTCTTTACTGCTTAAAGTTATAGATGGTAAGAGTCGAAAGGAAACAGAAAGGATTAATTTAATTATTCATATACTATTAAACTCCCCAATCCTTCCCACCCAAACCCCCCTCCACCCCCAATCCTTCTTATATGCTATTTTAAATTCTTGTTTGTAAATCTCTCATTCCCTGCCTATCCTTGGGGAGAGAGAGAGAGAGAGAGCAAACCTTACGCCTAGTGTAATATAATTAATTTTAGAATTCTGTTTATCTGCCCATTTTTGGGGGGGATCTTCTTTTATTCTCCTCTCCCTTTTCCTCCCCATCCCCTCCCCTCTCTATAACAAGAAGTAAACTATACACACACGTCAAGTGTTGAGCGAAAAGTGCAGTAGAGAGGAGAGTAATGGTGTTAATTCTTGCCTTGGTTTGTTGTCATTTAACCAAAAAAATAAAAAAGGGCCAGCAAAAGAGAGAGGACACAGGAGAGACTTTTAACTTGGCTGTGATAATTGTTAAGTTATAGCTTCCATGTTATTTATCCATGTGTCCCAGTCTTCTATTTGAGTATATCTATTTCCTAGGTTCACCTATATACCCCTTTCTATTTTTGCCTGCCACATGACTTGTGTTATAATTCTTGAATGCATGGGGTTTCCCTGTTTTCCAGTCTTGTGCTAAGTAGTTTAGCTGCTGTGATGATATGTAATAATGTTACCATTAGTACTTTTTTTTTTGTAATTATAGGCCAATTCAGTTTTTTTTTTTACACATGTAATATAGTTTATCAGAATATAGTGCATACATCAAAAAGGCTGGTGTCAGGACATAATCCATGTGTTACAAAGGTAACTAGAACCAATTTATTTATTTATTTGTGGTACGATTTCCCTATACATAGGGAATCGATCAGAGGTCAAATAAATATCATGTAGCGTTTTTAATATGTGGCCAGAAGACTACTACTAGATCTTTTTTTTTCTTTTGTGAGAAGCCATTTTATTAATTACTTTGGTGCCAGATGCAACAGCAATGCATTGGAAAGCAGAACAATTATTTGGATGTCCCATTGGCACTCAGTTAAAACAATATTCGGCTTTCTATTTATTGGTATATAAGGTGCAAGATTCTTCCAGTTAATTCCACGATGGCTTCTTTGTCAAAAAGGCAACAGGAGGGGGGAGGTTTCGTTATGTTGAGCTAACATGGAAAGAGAGCTGGTACATTCAATAGGATGCATCCGGAGCGGGACAAATGTCCTAATCTCTGTAATATTCACCAAGGCTTGTGATGGGCAGGTGGTTGAGAGCTCTTCAGGTGTGAAAAGAACAGGTCACGCATTTCTGGTTTGAGGCTTAGTCCAGGCAATGTGAATATGGACTGCACTGTCCCAGACATTTCCAAAAGGTTGACTTTCATATAACGTGACCCATTGTCTGCAGCTGCGCTAGGTCGGCTGGCGTCTTGGCCATCTCCAGGTTGCTTGTGTTTCCCGCTGGTTACTAGAGTGCTTCGGTATTTGCTGGCCATGGGTGTGTTCACTTTTGTGTTTCTGCCAGCATCAGCCTTGGGTACAAGATGAAGCCTGCGTGCTGTGCCCGCTGCTCCTCTCTGTGTGAGAAGAGTGAGAGTCCAGGTAAAGTCTCCCTTGGTCCGCCTGTAACACAGGGAGTTGTAGCCTCTGCTTAGGTAGATGGGAGCTCGTTCTCCGGGTTTTAATGGGCGTGGCGGCCATTTTGGATTGTGCCATGCGTCCTTGTTTAATCCATTCGCCGCTCGGATGGTATAAGCGGTCACTGCCTCTCCGGTGGGGTCCGGGATAACCCCCCGGCCCACAGGAGGGGGAACGGCGCCCTCAGTAGGCGTGTGAGATGTCCCGCTGGACTAAGCACGGGAGATCGGCCGTTTCTCCCGCCAGAGCCTCATTTTCCGCCAGAGCCTCACGACAGGCCTCAATCCCAGCCGCCCTGAAGTCAGCTCCGCCGGTAGGACGGGGTCTGATATTGACACCGTGGGTGATTTCTTGTATCCTCTTCGCCTTCATGTGGCCACTGATCGCCAATCTCGGGAAAAAAAAGGTGATCTTTGCCTGATTGTGCTAGTTTCATAGAGGAGCCGAGGTACCCCACCTCCATTCTGCTTGGCGTTCAGGCCCCGACCCCCTGGGCCAATTCAGTTTTAACAGGACCACTTCAGGCTTGAAGTCAAGTTTCATTTGTGTTATTTGGTCTATTACATTGATTACATCTTTGCAAAATGTATTTATGGATACAGATTGCCACCAAATGTGGAACAAATTACCTTCATTGACATTGCATTTCCAACACCTTTCTGATGACTCTGGAAAGATTTTTTTTTAAATGTTTCAGTGTTAGGTACCATCTGTTGGAAAGTTTGAATAGTGTTACCATAAGGTTTAGGCAGTGTATATGTTTGTGTGGTTTATTTAGAGAGCTTATCCACTCTTCTTCTTCTATATATACAACCATAACGGTTGTCACCGGCCCGGCGGCCCTGGGGGGCCCAGCCGCCCAGGCCCCATGTGTAGCGGCGGAACTTCCGCAAGCTGATGGGGCCCATCGGGTGGCCCATGCACTTAGGGCCACCCGATGGGCCCCATATCTTCAGAGGCCCGGTCAGGGCTGTGACCGTGGTATAGGGCCCCTTTAAAAAAAAAAAAAAAATGCCGCCGCAGCGCAAGTGCTGCTGGGAGGAAGTAGTCACTTCCTCCCAGCTCACTCCGTGCGTTTGGAGCGCACGCCTGGCAATGAAGAGGGAGAGCCGTGCTGACTCCCAGTCCCATCAGCCCCAGCCACCATTCTGCAAGGTAGGAAACAGGAGGGTGGCTGGACAATGAGCTGTGTGTGTGTGTGTATGTATGTCTGTCTGTATGCATGTTTGTATGTCTGTCTGTATGTATGTATGTATGTCTGTCTGTATGCCTGTCTGAATGCCAGTATGCATGTCATTATGTGTGTATGAATGTCAGTGTATGTATGTCTGCATGTCATTATGCATGTGTCTGTCTGTCTGTATGAATGTATGTATGCCAGTATGAATGTCTGTCTGTATGCCTGTCTGTCTGTCTGTATATATGTATGTATGTCTATATGTATGTCTGTATGCATGTCTGTATGCCTGTGTGTATGAATGTCAGTGTATGTATGTCTGCATGTCATTATGAATGTGTGTATGTCTGTCTGCATAAATGTATGTATGCCAGTATGAATGTCTGTCTGTCTGTATATGTCTGTGTGTATGTCATTATGTATGTATGGATGTCAGTGTATGTATGTCTGTATGCCTGTATGCATGTCTGTCTGTATATATGTATGTCTGTCTGTATATATGTATGTATGTATATCTGTATGTCTGTATGTATGTATGCATATCTGTATGCCTGTCTGTATGCCTGTGTGTATGAATGTCAGTGTATGTATGTCTGCATGTCATTATGAATGTGTGTATGTCTGTCTGTCTGTATGAATGTATGTATGCCAGTATGAATGTCTGTATGTATGTATGTATGTCATTATGTATGTATGGATGTCAGTGTCTGTATGTCTGTATGCATGTCTGTATGCATGTCATTATGTGTGTATGAATGTCAGTGTATGTATGTCTGCATGTCATTATGAATGTGTGTATGTATCTCTGTCTGTATGAATGTATGAATGTATGTATGCCAGTATGAATGTATGTCTGTATGTCATTATGAATGTGTGTATGTATGGATGTCAGTGTCTGTATGAATATATGTATGCCAGTATGAATGTATGTCTGTATGTATGCATGTCTGTATGCGTGTATGAATGTCAGTGTATGTATGTCTGCATGTCATTATGAATGTGTGTATGTATGTATGCCAGTATGAATGTATGTCTGTATGTCATTATGAATGTGTGTATTTATGGATGTCAGTGTCTGTATGAATGTATGTATGCATGTCTGTATGTATGTATGTCTGTATGTCTGTATGCATGTCTGTATTCCTGTATGCATGTCATTGTGTGTGTATGAATGTCAGTGTATGTATGTCTGCATGTCATTATGAATGTGTGTATGTCTGTCTGTATGTATGTATGCCAGTATGAATGTCTGTCTGTATGTCATTATGAATGTGTCTGTATGTCCTTATGCATGTGTGTCTGTATGTATGTTAGTATGTGTCTGTCACTATGTATGCCTGTGTGTCTGTATATGTGTGTATGTCTCAGTATGTGTGTGTCAGTGTGTATGCCTATATGCGTATCAGTATTTGTGTCTGTTAGTATGTATCAGTGTGTGTGTGTGTGTGTATCTGTGTCCTTTTGTATCAGTGAATGTGTTTGTGTCTGTGTGTGTATTCCTGTTGGTGGGATTTGGAGGCAGTCTCTGTGGGCGGTTTTGGAGGCGGGCCCTCAGGGGCCCAGACCCTGAGCTCAGTTAGGGGCCCCAAAATTTCTGGTGGCGGCCCTGTGTACTTGTAGCTCTTTTTCCCATTTGTTGATCAGTCCTATAGGTTTATCATGTCTCCATCTATATATAATTTTGCGAGTACCGTATATACTCGAGTATAAGACAAGTTTTTCGGCACATTTTTTGTGCTGAAAACCCCCCACTCGTCTTATACTTGAGTCACTGTCTGTATTATGGCAACTTACATTGCCATAATACAGACCAGGACCGCCGGGCTTGTTGGGGGCTGGCAGCCTGTTGGGGGCTGGCAGCGAGCTGTAACTTACCTATCCTGCAGATCCTGTCAGCTCCCTTCTCTCTCCTCCGGTCCGGTCAGCTCCCTTGTCAGCTCCACTGCAAGTCTTGCGAGAGCCGCAGGGTCAGAGCGTTGCTCGACTTATATTCGGGCCGACTTATACATGAGTATATACGGGTACGTTTTTATAGTTCTTTTGTTCGAGAAGGTGTCTGTGATTTGTGATTTTCTCCACCTTATTTTTAAGAAGATATTCTGAAACAAAACCTTTGATTCGCAGATAATTAAAAGTTTCTTTAGGGGGAATATTAAATTCCTCCATAATTGCATTTACTATTCTTATTTCAATTATACACAATTCCTAGTTTAGTGAATAAACGTAAAAATGTTCGCACGTAAAGGTCAGTGAAAATGCAAAGCTGTGCACATTCTCTCTAGATCTCTAGATGATTTTTTTACTTCTCACTAGATCCAGAGAGGATATATATATATATATATATATATATATATATATATATATATTTATAGAGGCATAAAGGCATAGGAACAAACCCTGGATGTTGGGCTATGGTAACATCCCCAGGACGTACTTGAAAACCAGAGTAATCTGAATGTACCTTTCCTGGTTAAATACTTTGTTGTTGTTATTATTATTATTATTGTTCTACTGGGAGGTAGAAAATGTCTCATCTGTAAAACCTACCTGTTTACATATATCATCCTCCAGAAGGCTGGAAAACGTGCTAGTTGCTCTCTTAAATTTAAGTTCTAGAAGCAACCTATCATTTTTTAGCAGGTAAACATAGCAAAGCTTTTATTAGGAGCACAAGAGATTAAACAGACACATAATTAAACTAATATGTTGTTTTGCTGACCTTGCACTTCTGTAGCACACTTCGGTTTTACTTACTTACTAAGTACAATACAAACGCAAAGTAGCATTTACTATTTTATGGGGCATTAGTGTTACAGCCATTGTGTTAATAAAGTAAAGACTGTCTGAAACCAGACTGAGATATGTGACAGAAAACTAATTTGTCGCCATTTATCCCATCTCCATCACCCAAGGTCAAGAAAGAAAATCAAAGGTTACAACTGTGAAGAATTTTGCAGCTGGTACTGTGAGGAAAATTAAGTTATTTTAGGCAGTTGTAGGAGTGCGACAACTTGGCCAATGACCAGCAAAATTCACATTCCTCCCATATATATTTATTTTTTCCCATAACCCACAGAATATAAAGATCTTCATGGTTTATACCTATACTAAGATAAAATTAGACTTCAAAACTTATTTTGAAAGTTTTTCTACTTGGTGAATCAGCTCCATAATATATATACATATATATATTATCTCCCAAGAGATAATAACTTTACATGGTTTGATGTTCTAATGTATTGCTGTAACTATAACAAACTTAATACTTCTTTCATTCTTTCCTTTTGTTACGTATATATTTTCTTCCTTCCTTATGGTGCTTTATTTAGGTTTTCTTTGAAAAGATTTGTGGAAGTATGTGAATTTATGAAATGGTGGATCTGCAGTATATCGTCCTCATGACAGTTTTGTGCAATACAAGGTTTACATTCACTCTTTAACATTTCCATGGTTGATAAAATAATCTACGAACCAAAAAGGTGTTTAGAATTTCCTTGGGTTTCACACGTGATTTGAATATAAATGCTGCA